TAATAAAAACATAATAAATCCTTAAAAACGTGCATAATTAAATTAAGTAACTTGATCATCAAGTAGGCTTTCTCGATCACCCTTCTAATCTCGCGTAGACAATTGGTTGTGCACGTGCATGCACGTCATGCTCAATTATGAAACTGTTATTCTTCGAATCTCTCTCTGGTCAAAACATAAAATTTGTATATATTCCAGTTGGCTTTCCAAAGAAATTTGAATCACCTAAATTGGACGTCATATGAGAGAGTTATAACTTGAATGGTAAAGCTGCCATAGATAGGCGAGAATCTCAGATGCATGGAATTCGACTTGTCCATCGAACTCTCCTCTTTCTTTTCTTCCAATTCCTAAACATGGACTCTTTAAAGGCCCGATTCAAGCCTTTATTCTTCAATTCAAACCGGAACGGCTCCATGAATCTCACTCGTTTTCTCTTCTTGCAATTCTTCAGCTTTAATCTTGCTAGGATTGTATCAAGACGCTAAGCACCATTGGAGCAATAACAATTATTTGGAGTGAGCTTGCCTCCTCGGCCTGGTGAATCATCACAATGAGGGCTTCCATGCATAAAATAAACAAATAGGGGGATAGTGGGTTCCCCTGCCTAAGCCCATAAGACGGCTGCAACGAACCGAACTGGCAGCCATTAAAGAGAAAGGCATAAGAAACTGAAGAAACACATAACATAATAAGATCAACTAAAGATGTGGGAAACCGAAGCGACACAAAAATTTTCGTAAGAAAGACCATTCGATCCGATCGTACGCTTTACTGATATCCAAATTAACCGTCATATAATGTGTTTCCTTTCTAGAATTAGTTTTAATAAAGTGATTCACTTCATAGGCTATAAGGACATTATCGGTAATAAGACGAACAAAAGCTGATTGGGTGGAAGATATGATATTCTGGAGAAAAGGTTTTATGCGGTTAGCAATAGCTTTCGACCCAAACTTGTAAATGACGTTACACAGGCTAATTGGCCGATATTCGGTGATCTTTTATGGATTTTTCACCTTAGGAATAAGGACATTGGAAGTGAAATTCATTTTACTCGGCAATTTTTTGTGATTGGGAAAATCAAGGACACAATTAAGCACATTAGACCCAAGAACACTCCAATACTTACTAAAGAATAAGATAGGAAAAAGGTCCGAACCCGGGGATTTAGAGGGAGACATTTGGGATATTGCTCGGGTTACCTCGTCTGCAGTGAAGGGTAGAGAGAGTAACTGGTGGGCCGAGTGAGATATCCACGGATCAATATGTTGTGCCACGCTCTCAATCACACTCTCATCCAGGTGGTTGGACTGAAAGATCGAGGAGAAGTAATTCGCAATCACCTCAATATTAGCTTTGCTCTCATGCCACTCCCCCAAATCGTCTTTGATCTTATGGACCCACTTTGTCCGTATTCTAATTGTAGCGTTCGTGTGGAAAAACCCAGTATTGCAGTCTCATTCCTTCATCCATTGGATCCGACTCCGTTGTTTCCAATAAGTATCGAGGTCTTGGTACAACTGTTCGTGTTCTGTCTGGAAGATACTCCTTTTGGCATTGCTCTCTACTGTACGTGTTCCCGTGCTCAACTGGTGAATTTGTTTGTGAATCTCTGAAATCCGTTTCCTAGGGTTAGGCAGACCTGTCTTACTCCAATGGATGAGAGTTGTTTTGCAGCTCTCCGACTTAGAGAGCAGATCATCAATTGGGTCCGACTCAAGTGGCTCGGACCCTTGCTGTTGGATAATTGTATCGCACTCTTCTCTACGAATCCACATAACTTCAAACCGGAAAGGTCGTCCCTGTCGTTCAGCTCTATAGGCCACCGTATTTTGTAACTTTAGAAGAATTGGGAGTGGTCGGACCCAACAAATTCCATATGTTGAACTTGGGCTAATGGAAACAAACTCCGCCAACTATTATTGCCGCACACCTTGTCAAGTCTACATCTGACCGCGAAAAGGGCCTCCCGTCCGTTCGACCATGTGAAAGGGGATCCAGTGTAACCTAAATCTGAGAGGTGGCAGTCGCTTAACGCCGATTTAAAATCCAGAATCGCTGAGGTGGCTCTCGGATTGCCTCCACTCTTCTGCTATTGTGTGGTAATCTCGTTGAAATCTCCACCAACTATCCATGGAAGATCCCTCTGGTCGCCGATTGTTCTCATTAAGTTCCATGTAAGGTGTCGTCTATTTTTTCTTGGGAAGCCATAAATGCCCATAAACCGCCACTTGTCGCTGGCATAGCTAGTCATTATCTCTACAACTATATGGTTGCTTGATAGGGAGATAAGGTCAATTTGGACGTGTTTCTGCCAAAGAAGAGCGAGACCCCCTGATTTTCCTCATTTATCTACTGCCACACCAAATAAATTCCATTTCTTCTTCGGTCGTTCGACCAAATGTGATGTCGCTTTTGTTTCCGAGAGAAACACCACAAGGGGGTGGTAAATTTGGAGCATATCTCCGAGTGAGTGAATTGTCAAGGGCACCCCCAACCCCTGACAATTCCAAAATAGGCAACTCATTGGGCTCGGCAGGACTGCGAGGCAGTCTCCGCCGTTGTGCTTGTGTCTTATTCTCTTAAGTACATTGTGTGTTGTCTCTTGGCCTCTCTCATGTCTTCACTGTGTACCTCGCCTTCTGGCCTCTTCCCCGGTTCTTTTGTGTAATGGAAATTTTCTTCCTTGGTGCACCCACGTCATTAGGGTTTGGCGAAATTTGGACAGGATTGTTGAAAATGTTGAACTCTCCCACCATCATCCCTTCTGCATTTTCCTTGTCTCCGTCAAAGTTATCATGGTGCTTTTCCCCGCGATACGACTAGCTAAGATCATATATTTCCACTCCCCGTATGCATACGTTCATTGGCTGGCTCTAGTTAAAAGACAGCGGAGGGGTAAACGGTTGAAGTGATGTCCTGGTAGCATGGGGAGCGGTTTCCTGGAGCGCTCTTAGCCAGCTTCCATTAGGTAGGGTGTCCCCCGGTTCCTCAAAATTGTCCTCGTACCTAAGAGGGCATTTGTGCTCACCATGGCCAAGGATCCCACATAAAAAACAGAATTTCGGTAGTCTTTCGTACTTGAAGTTCAACCACACCCTTGCGCTAGTTGTTTCATGTACGTAAAGTCCCCGCTTGATGCAGCTTGATTCGCATGTAATGAGCTATGTCTACGTGTTGTGCGTTCATAAGCTGTAGGAAGGAGCCCAACCGATTGCCTATTAGGGTTGCCGTTTCAGTGGTTATGTGTGTCATAGAAAAATTGTGTACACGAACCACAATTTTCATTAGCTTCACTTCCACCTCATTGATTTGTTCTCCTTCCGCCAGTTCGTGGAAGAGCAGCGCCTGTTTGTCTAATATCCAAGGGCAACCATCAAGGGCATGTGCGTGATCGATTTTTTTGTTGAATCGAATGACAAATTTGTTCATGGCCATCGGCAAAATTTCACATCCTTTGGTCGGATGGAGGATGTGGAGTACGTTAGACTTAATCGTATGAAACGAAATATCCCTATCTAATATCACTCTCCCTACCAGCCGCCGTTCCATCCTTAAAACCCTAGGCACCCGATTCCCCGGATCCAGAACCAAGACCTCTTCCTCGTCCGAAGTGAGTGTGAATCGTTTCTCCATCGATTCTGTGAGTCATTCCATCGAGATCGAGATAGTGTGATTGAGAGGTGCGAGCCTTGATCGTAAGATATCTAACCCAGCGCCGCCAGATCCTGAATAATGAAGACAGAAGGTGAATGATAGGTAGGGTTACGATAAAAATACCAAAGAAGAGCAGACGAGTCAGAACAAAGAAAAAAACGGCTCAAACCCTAGAAAAAGAAAATAACACTACTCAGTAGACAATATGAATAAGTAAACCGTGCGATTGATTCTCAGTGGAACAATCTAACAATGAAAACTCTAGTCGATTCTCATGGAAATCGAGAACTCAAAATATTGTCGCCTGTCATGCTGAGAGAATTCTCATTTATTTGCCAAATTGGGATCCCTAAAACCGATGGATCACATGGTAATTATGATTTTATTTTGGGTTAAATTCCACTTTTCTCCTTTGTACTTTGGCTCGGTATCACTTTATCTTTTTCTACTCTATATTGCATTGATTTGCCCCCTGCACTTGAAAATTGTCTCAATGTGGTCCTCCCTGTTAGTTGTCAGACATTTGACCTTAACACCGTTTGATCTAAGCTCTCAAATTACAAAAACATCACCTCTCTCAGTTAAATAATTATTAAAAAAATAATAATTAAAAATTCAAGAAAACGAGAAAACATAGTCCACGACATCAGCCACAAATTTTTTTTTTTTTTAATAATTATTTAAACCAGGAGGGGTAGATTTTTTGTAATTTTCAGACATAGATCAAACGGTGCTAAGGTTAAAGGTTTGAAAACTAATGACGAGGGCCACGTTGAGATAATTTTTCAAGTATAGGGGGGCAAATCGATGCAATCGAGAATATAATGGGGTAAAGTGATATCGAACCAAAGTACAAGGGGTGAAAGTGGAATATACTCTTTTATTTTCAACTGAGAAAAAGCTCATGTAACTTCACGCGCCGCACGTGCGCGTCCGAAATAACAGAACTGGCAAGTACAATTCACATGTCCGGTTATTTCCGACCACCAAAAACAAATGACAAAACAAAAACAAAAACAAAAACAAAACAAAAAAAAAAAAAAAAGAAAAAGAAAGAAAAACAAGAACCTTTTTTTCACCAACTTCCCCCAAATCTTCTGATTTTCAATATTATCCATCTTCTTGACTTTTTTTCTTTTTTTTTTTTTGTTCATCATATAAAATAATTCTTTGTTACTAATAATCCAAAAAAAATATATATTCAATATTTTTTTCCTTGAAGAGCTGACAAATTATCCATCTGTTTCTTCATTTGCTAATTAATTAATTAATTGATTAATTAATACACATGCAACTAATTCATGTAAAGCTTTTGAGATGTTTCGATGACTCTCAATTTTTTTCTCATCTGGATCGTACTTCAAGAACCCACCTTTGTTTCATCAGGTAAGAAATAATTTTTATGGCTTTTGTTTTCTTCCTTTTTAATTTTGTCCTTTTTTTTGGGGGGAAAAAACCCAATTTTGTTTCTTCAACCTTTTTTTTTAAATAATGCAGAAAAATAAATAAATAAAAGGGTGATGAAATGGTTTGTTTAAGATCATAGGGTTGTTTCTTGATCTTGGGGGGCCTTGAATTTCCGAGGCTAAAAATGTCTATTCAACAAGGAAATGCTGCAGAAACTAAAGATGTTCCAGGTATTTTGTTTAATTATTATTTATTTTTATTTTATTATTGTTATTATTATTATTTTTATTATTATTATTATTTTTTTTTTTTTTTTGTGCCTTTTGGGTTTTGGAGATTCTTGTTGTTTTGATGTTGAAATGTTGAATTAATTGATTTTCTTTTTCCTTACATAAATTATCTCATGAAAGGTAAATGATGGAAATTTATGTATTGTTAGAAGTTGAATTTCTCGTGTTCTTACAATGTTTATATATAGCAGAACCTCGATAAGTTACTACTCGATAAATTTATAACCTCGTTTGAATAATATTTTTTCTCGGTCCCGACACGAAGGCAACGTGCTAAAGAATATTTCGTTAAATTAATAGAATTTGGCTCGTCCCGACCCGATTGTATTAATTTATAGAGGTTTAATTTAACTATACGTGGAATGTGGGACCCACATCGAGTTAGTTTCTGGAGACGAGTTCTACCCAAACCCATTATTAGATATCGGGATTTGTTTTGAAATATTGGTTTTAGTACAACATTCTAGGACTACATTTCGTTTGTTCATTGAGCCGTACCACTTTCACAAAATTACGATGATTTATGTATTATTTTAAGGAAATTAATATATGCATAAACTGAACCAGGTTCGAGTTTATACGACCTCTTGCGAATGGAAAAATCTTCGAAATGGAGTCAGTGCTCAAGGGAATTGAAACATTCCTCCTCTTCCAGTAAGTAAACATATATTTATTATCGACAAAGATTGCATTTTTTAAATCTTGATGTTTTTATATGCATTGCAACAAATTCTTTATTATTTTATTCTCGTGCTTTATGTGAATGAGGTCCAAGAGGCAGGCTCGAGAGTCTGCTATCGGAATCCGGGAATAGAGTTTGCGCTGATTGCGGATCACCCGATCCTAAATGGGTGTAAGTCTTTTTATATTGTTACTTAATTTAATTTAATATATATATATATATATATATATATATATATATATATATATATATATATATATATTTTTTTTTTTTTTGCTTCTTGTAATTGTTGTTTAATAACGGGTTCGGTGACCAGATCTTTGAGCATCGGGGCTTTCTTTTGTATAAAATGCTCGGGAGTACATAGAAGCTTAGGAGTCCATATATCAAAGGTGTTAATTCGAGCCCTATTTTTTTTTATCAAATTGATGATTTATTATTTTTAGTAATTTAATTTTTATTTTTTTTACGAATGTAGGTTTACTCGGTGAAGCTCGATGAATGGACGAATGATCAAGTAGATGCTTTAATAGAAATGGGTGGAAACGTTGCAGTCAACTTGAAATACGAAGCTCGTATTCCCGACCATTATAGAAAACCAAGACCCGACTCTTCCGCAGAGGAGCGCACCGATTTTATAAGGTAGTTAAAAAAAACTATCCTCACATTATTTGAACAATAACAAATATGTCTTCACCGAAATATAGACAAACAATACTTTAATTTTCAAATTCTTCGTATAAAAAAATTTCCTTTCTCCCAACACCATTACACATAAATTTATAGACCTCGTAAATTTTATTTTTTATTGATCAGGAGAAAATACGAGCTGCATCAGTTTTTGAACTGCGATTTACAGCTGTACTGCCCGTTTCCAACTCTGCCCTCCTCACAGTGCAGTCCTTCGGGCAGCTGCCCTTTATCTCTATTGCCCCTCGACAAGAAAAGTTACGAAAAACAAACCACGGCCCACAAAAGCCATGGCCTTGGCCACGCATTTCGTAACAGCTGGCGAAGACCCGAGCCGAAAATAACCAAAAAGAGCAACTCTATGGTAATAATAGTTCTTGCTTAAAATATTTTTTTTATTAAATATTTGTTTGTACAATATAGCTTCTAATGCTAATTTTAATCAATTGAATTATTGAATGAAATATATCCGACTTTTTCAAATCTTTATTGAATTTTTTCGATGCGTAATTTTCTTACTAATTTGAATTTACGTGTTATAGGCAGGTATGGTTGAATTTGTAGGACTTATTAAGGTTAACATAGTACGAGGGACGAACTTAGCGGTTCGAGATATGGTGACAAGCGACCCCTACGTAATCCTCTCGCTCGGAAATCAAGTAAATCTAATTTCCATTATTTGCATGTTTATAATGATCCTAAGTTTTATTTATTTATTTATTATTATTATTTATTTAAATTCCAGTCGATGAAGACAAGGGTCATCAAGAATAACCTTAACCCCGTTTGGAACGAGAGTCTAATGTTGTCGATTCCGGAGAATATACCTCCTCTTAAGTTGGTAAGTATATTTGCGATGATAAAATTTTAAGCTACAATTTTAGGGAGCGGCTAAAACAAATACCGTTTATTTTTCACTTCAATACCACCAATATAAAAAATAGAAAATTTAATAGGTAATTTCATTAAGGGTAATAATGTCATTACCAATTTATTTTCTATATTTTTTTATGTTGGTGGTATTGAAGTGAGAAATAAACGGTATTTGTTTAAGCAGCTCCCATAATTATATTACCACCCCAAAAAACATTTATGCGACAAAATACTATCGATTTGCCTTTTTTTTTCTCCTTATGACAGCTAGTTTACGACAAGGATACATTCTCGACCGATGATTTTATGGGAGATGCCGAGATCGACATCCAGCCGTTGCTTTCAGCTGCAAAGGCTTCGGAGAGCTCCTCGATTAACGAGTCGACTCAGCTCGGAAAGTGGAAAGCGAGTCACGAGAACACACTCGTCAAAGACGGTGTTATCACGTTAGAAGACGGTAAGGTCAAACAAGAAATCTCCATTAAATTGCAAAATGTTGAAAGAGGAGTTTTGGAGATTGAGCTCGAATGTGTGCCCCTCACACAATAGTACGTAGGTGCGAACGGAATCTAATCGATACGTAAAATCATAACTCCGTTTTCCTCGATTTCTCCACACAAAAAAAAGAAAAAGGAAAGTGCAATATCGGGAGATGGTGATTCAATCGAAGAAATTGTGCGCGAAATGGCGATATTTATTTCGAGATGGTGACCTGGACAATTTAGGCTCTGTTTGGCCTATAATGCTAGTTTTCGACATGCAAATATAGATGACAATGCTAGTTTCTCTGTAACCGAAACAATTGTATACACATAATTTGAATCTTTGATAATGTATAGAAAAATGCCAACATTCGGAGAAAATATAAAGATTGTGAAAATAGAGAAGCAACATCGTGTGTTGACTAAAATCCTCGTTTGGTTTGGGAGATTAGCCATTACATCAACTAAAAAAATTGGACTTTGTTTAATGTTTGATATTCACAATAATTTACCGGGTCGACCTGCAAATCTTATGTTATCATGACTAGTCAAAATTAGTACGTTTATTGGTAACAATTAAAATGTTCGCATCGACTCATTGAGTAGTGCATACAATTAAGCACAGATCGATCACCAGAACATAATCTTACCTATAAAGATTTGTCACAGAATATTCCACAATTTCAAGATCAAGAATATATTTAAAACAATAACATGCTAGAGAAATATTACTTACAGAAAATAATTCATTTCAGTTTGCAAACGGAGGTATAATACTAAATCATACTATATATCACGGAATAATCACGAGAACCATTTGCAGACGACTAAGATTCACTGGAGAAAGTATTGCACTTCAAAACGTAAACATGAATCTAATCTAAGCCCCGTTATTGACCTTCAAATTGTATATTTATCGAGCGAGAAATTGTATCGAACACGAAACATTCAAGAATCGAAGCAACCACTGAAAAAAAAAAAAAAAAAGACAATGCGAAACACGAAATTAGTTTAGATTAGGGCAACGATTCATTTGGGATCACGAAATTATAAATCGCTAATAATTTACGCAGCAACATAATCAAAGTCTCGTTTCCGGAATCAATGGTTACCTAATTATCGAAGAGAGCAGCTTCAACTGATTTAACTACTCGGCAAACGAATGAAAATCAATTCGTAGCTTAAAGGATTCTAGAAAACTTTCTAGAACCCTCAATCATACTCAATTCGATGGAATTGTTTGATCTTACCTTTGTATGTACATATTTTGTAGGAATTATTTGGAGTGTTCTAGCCAACAACTTCTAGCCATTAGATCAAACAGATCCCCATCATCTATTGAGTAGGTGGCCTAGTATAAAGAGGAGTAGGGACTTCATTTGTAAGCATCCAATAAATTCAAGCAATTGTAAATACTCAAGCAATACAATACAAGTACTTTCCTATAAAGCTCGTTTATCTTCTTAAGTCATTTGTTCATTTTCCATCATGTACGAAAAGAAGTGAAGGGCGCACAATTTATAAGGGAACAAATCCGCGACAACTTTCCACTCTAGAACATAAGGGTGGCGCCAA